GTTTGCACTATGTGAGGAGTTGCTTTTAGTCTCATTGTACATAGTTATAGTGGCAATTTCATTCATTCATTCAGGATGACTACTTGAGCATCCATGTTTGCTACTATTGCGATTCAGGTCTTTTCAGGATTGAAACAATAATTCTCCTCTTTCTTGTTTGATCAGATTATAAATCGTGATCGCCACCCAAACGGAAGCCTGCAGTCGGTTCAGCAGCTCTCTGAGCCAGAACCGAAAGTTGTCGAGGGCGTTGACAGGCAGTTATTTGGCAGGTGTTTTAACTGATTTACTACTTCAGTTTGTCAGCATGACACAGTAGGCCTTTGTTCTCCTTTGCGCTAAGGAAAACCCGTCTCTGTGTGTTGTTTTTTTTGTAAACTAAAACAGATTAAAACAAACCTAGACCTGATTGCGGGAGTAGATGTAACCATTATTCTATGATAGACATTGTTGTTTTTGTTTATTGTTTACTAAAACAACACAGACGTGGTGATGAAGCTCATCAAAGCTTCAGAAACAAACATTTTTAAATGCCCTGACCTGAATGAAGAACGAAAAAAGCATGAATTTATTTTTATTTTTTTGGTCATTTTTAGATTTTCAGACATTTATCGCTTCGTGGCTATAAAACCAAATGGGACCAAATTTATAGTTTATTTATCTTTTACATTATTTACAGCTGTTGCCTCACAGCAAGTTGCAGGTTTAACTACCTGTACATAACTTGTCGGCATGGGTTCTTCCCATGCACCCGTAGGCTGTACTACAGTTTCCTCCCACTGTGCAAAAAAACATGTGTGGGTTTTCTCCAGGTAATCCGGTTTCTTCATACATGTTGGGTTGTTTACTCTAAATCAGGGATATTCAACTGGTGGCCCGGGGTCCAAATCAGGCCCATGAGTGAGCTCAGTTCGGCCCACCGGTTCATTTTTAAATAAAACTACATTTTAAACCATAAAACAAACTTGCTTAATAACGATAACTAGGGGTGCACCGATAAATCGGCCGGACGATTTGTTTGCCCCGATTTCCTTAATATTGGGAGATCGGAGATCAGCCGATACTTGAGACCGATTTTTTTATTTTTTGGTAGTTTTAACAACAATTGTCTGAACTTCATTTATATTTCAGAGCACTGCCTCATGGCCAGTTAAAACAAGTTTGTATTGTTTCCAGGATATTGTTCAATGTATGTTTTTCAACAAAATAAGATTGGAAAATTGAAGGTGTGATCTTATAACACCCGACGGTGTCGTTTATAAAACAAAATCTGTATCGGCAGGTCAGACTTTATAGAGACCGTGATTGGTCAGAAAACTGCAATCAGTGCACGCCTGCTGGATAACTGCTGGATGTCCGGCCCCTGAGCTCTTGGCTTTCAGTAACTGTGGCCCCCCGAGCAGTTTAGTTGAGTAGCTCTGCTCTGAATTGTCCCGAGGAGTGAGAGAGCGTGTGAGTGGTCGTCTCATCCCTCATGCAACATTTTATTTATTTATTTCGCCACAGCTAGCACACTCACGTGAGAATTGGCAAATGTTTGTCTTTCCTGATACAACCACAGAACACTGAGCTATCTAGGCTCCACGAGGAGCAGATGGGGGGGGGGGGGGGGTAAGGGCCTAGAGTTGCGTCAAATGAGGCTGAGTGCTTCACCTTTCCCACTTTTTTTTGTTGTTGTTGTTGTTGTTGGTCATGGGATTCGAACTGGCGACCTCTCACCCTCAGACGCTCCTTCTCTAACCTCTGCACCACCACTCCCTGCCTTGTGATCAACTGATGACCTGCCAAAAGCATGACCCCACCTCTCGCCCTGTGACTTCTCCTACCGAACACCTCTGTGACCCTGAACAGGATCGACCAGGTTAGAAAGAGTTGATATCAAAACAAGTTCACAAACGTTTTCTCCTCCTTTTGGAAATTCTCTACTTCTGCACTTCTGGAGCTGCACAAACGAAGCACTGCAGACTGAAGCAATGCAGACTGAAGCACTGCAGACTGAAGCAGTGCAGACTGAAGCAGTGCAGACTGAAGCAGTG